AGAGAGAGAGAGAGAGAGAGAGAGAGAGAGAGAGAGAGAGAGAGAGAGAGAGAGAGAGAGAGAGAGAGAAGAGAGAAGAGAGAGAGAGAGAGAGAGAGAGAGAGAGAGAGAGAGAGAGAGAGAGAGAGAGAGAGAGAGAGAGAGACGAAGTCATAGTCAGCCATTTTTTCTCCTCTTCTACCTATTCTCTTTGGAGTCTTCCGTCTTTACTAGAGGCTCGAATTTTGCTTTTCCCTCATCTATTGTGGCTGTATTTCATCTTTATAACAAATTCCTTGAACATCGCAAACCTATTTTGAGAATCTACTCTTTCCCTTCCTCTCTAGTCTTCCGCATTAATCACTACATTTCCTTTTTGACCTTTTTTTTACGTCTATCCCAAGGCAATGCCTGTGCTACGGACTCCCTTTCATAAAGTTAAAATGACATGACCTTAACATTCCTGTCTGAGATGATGGTTAACCTCCATTACGACTTGGAGTCTGAACAAACTGGCTAAATTGCTTTCATTTTCTGTTGAGTGAAACACGAGACAACAGATTCGACTCCTCGTGGATTCCACCGTTGGCTAAAGACGAAATCCAGGACGGTGTCGTGCCTGTTGCCTGCATTTTCAATTGATCCGTTTTGTACAGTGTATCACAACTTGTTCCGAGTTTATTTAATCAAAACTACGACTGGACATCTTTCTTTAAAAATTTTTGATCGTTTCAACCAAGGGATTCATATGGTACAACTTTACGCAAATAATATGCCAATCAACCTTCCCTTCCATTGAGACAAGTCCTGTAACACCAGAACAACCAATCAAAAGATAATAATAATGATAATATATATAATATAATGATAATAATAAAAAATAATGATACATAAATACTAAAATAAATAAAGTATTAAAGGAAATTAGAGTAAGCGAGATCACTGCCAATCCAAAGAGAGTAAAAATGAAAGTGAACATCTTTTAAAAACTTTCATTCCGTCGAAGTTCTTGAATCTCGGGTTTGGGTGTTGTTTACCAGCACAGTGATCTGGTCTGATGTAGTCATTCAGGCTGGAATTTCCTCACACTGAAATAAAAGATTCCAGCAATTGTTTTGTCTGGTTTTCGAACTCTTTACATTTCTTCGCTTAAGTCCGTGTATTTTATCTATTCTTAAGGCCTTCTAGCTCAGCATGCCTTTTAGATGGTCTGGGGTCGCTTTCGGGGTTACTGTGCATTCGTGTGCGTTTGAGGGTATGCGTGTCTGAAGGGGATTCTTCGAACAAGTGCGTTTGATTCAATATTTTCTTGATTTTAGCTTTTATTTAAAACATTTCTTCACTTTCATGAACTGCAATTTAGAGATAGAATGGATAAATCTTATTTTAGCTTTTATCTAAAACATGAAGATCGATTTCTTCACTTTCATGAACTGCAATTTAGAGATAGAATGGATAAATGTAAACATATGGTTAAAACTGACGAAATATATTTAATCAACATTTTGTCGGAGAATGGGTCTAAGAACAACAATGGACGCGGAAACGTTAATTGTCGGATGTTTTATATTTTTTTTTTTTTTCTTTATTTATTTATTTATTTAGTTCACGGTATCCCTTGGTATAGCGCCGATCTCTCCGAATAGATTTTTTACCCCTCTAACCCCTGCTTATGACATATACCACAAAGTTAAATTTCTTTAAATTCTATCTTCTTGTAGTTCAGCTCTGTACGTGTGCGCTATTATTCTCTGTGCTGTTTTCTCGTCACACACCGATTCTCTCTCTCTCTCCTCTCTCTCTTCTCTCTCTCTCTCTCTCTCTCTCTCTCTCTCTCTCTCTCTCTCTCTCTCTCTCTCTCTCTCTCTCTCTCTCTCTCTGTCTCTCTCTCTGTCTCTTCTCTTTCTCTCTCTCTCTCTCTCTCTCTCTCTCTCTCTCTCTGTCTCTTTCTTTCTCTCTCTTTACGTACATTATTGTAGCTATTTTTATCATCGTCATTTTTATTTTTATTATTGTTATTATTATTATTATTTATTATTGTTATTATTATTATTATTATTATTATTATTATTATTATTATTATTATTACTATTATTTTATTATTATTATTATTATATTATTATCATTATTATTATTTTTATTATTTATTATTATATTATTATTATTATATTAGTATAGTATTAGTATTAGTATTAGTATTAGTATTATAGTATTATATTATATTATTATTATTATTATATCATCTCATCATTATAATTATATTACTATTATCATTGTTATACTATCATATATTAATTATATTATCATTATTATTATCATTATTATCATTATCATCATTATCATTATCGTTGTTGTTGTTACTATCACCATCATTATCATTATTATTATTATTATCATCATTATTATTATCGTTGTTGTTGTTACTATCACCATCATTATCATTATTATTATTATTATCATCATTATTATTATCGTTGTTGTTGTTACTATCACCATCATTATCATTATTATTATTATTATT